GTGGGGAGCCGCCAGCGAGGACCATTTTCACATCTCCCTTTGTGAAGGAGCAGCCTTGAGCGAAACGCCACTCGAGGGGCATTGAACGAAATGTACGTTCGCCTCTTCCGTGTGGCACTCGGTGCCCGTCTCCGCCTCTGACGCTAATGATCCGGACGAGGGTTGGGTTTTTTTTTTTCCCCAAGAATAATGAGGAAAAGCAAATGAAAGGGAAAGGGGCTGGAGGAGGAGAGGTCAGATCCATTTAGGAGCCCAAACATTTACGGGGAGAGTGCCTCCTGAGTGGCTGCACAAAGGGCCTGGCTGTACCCGGCTCCGTCCCTCCTCCACCGCCTCTCCCCCGCCACCTCCAGCCATGAAAAGGGGGAACCAGAACTGTAGGGCCTCCGTTGAAAAATGAGGATAATGGATTTAATTCTAGACAAGCACGTTAAATGTCTATCCACAATAAAGGAAAGCTGGTCTTTAGCTAAACACTCTGGAGGAGCTCTTGGCTGGGATTCAAGAGCAAGATGTTCCCCTTGGTCCCTGCCCCGATCCCCCCCCATTCCACCCCAAAAAGAGCCGGCTATGGGGTGCAATTAGTCTTATAGCCACGTTGGTGTCTACCATCGCATCCTTTTTCTCTCTGCTCGCCATGGGGTGGCTCAGGACAAGCCTGGAGGGTAAAAGTCTATGCCTGGCCAGAGGGAAAACTCTTGCAGTGGTGCAGTGGGGTTTGCTGGTGCAGTGGTGGGATCCAGCCCAAAGAGAAGTGTCAGCACCAAAAGGTCTTCACGTCCCTCAAGTCCAGATGGACCACCACTCCTCCCTTCCCTGCAACGACCTTTTGCTGGCTCCCCCCTGCCCCCAGCCCCATTTTCCCATCCTCTGCCCATGGTGTTCCTTCACACAGCACTTCTCTTGGTGTCCCTCAGAGCTTTGCAGGATGATCTCAGGGTCCCTCTCCCTGCTGTGCTCCTGCTTTACCCAGGCTGGCTGTCTGCTGGGCTGGCACAGCTCCGGCCAGCTCCAGGGAGGATGCTTCAGCCTTATTTTTCTCTCCCACAAGTGGTCTGTTGAAGCAAAGTGCAGCCATGCTTGAAAAAGAGCAGAGGGTGGCTTGGCTGGAAGCAGCACGTGTAAGAGCTGTGATTTACAGAGCAATCCGAGTTCCTGTCCCAGCAAGATGATCTGCTCCCTGCCTGGGCTGGTTGCTCTCCGTTCGTTAGCGTGCATGAGCTTGAGACAGCCTCTGCTTGCACAGGGGACTTGCTGCTGGCGTCCTTTCTTCTCCGAGCCAAAAAAGTGGTGTGGTGGGTGGGGTCTTTTGGGGGGGGAGCCACTCTGGGTGGTGGATACAGAGGCCGGGCTGTGCCGGAGATGCAGAAATCAGCCCAGGGACGCAGCACCGCGTCCTGAGCTGGCAGGACTCAGAGGCAGCGCATCCCCCTGCTCTGCCCTGACCAACTCCCCACAGAGACAAAGAAAACAAATAAAAACCCTTTCCCTAACATTTTTACAAGCCGAAAGCAAAGCTGAGAGCCGGTTGTGGGCTGGTGAGCTGCCTGGGCTTTTAGTTTTTCTGCCTAATCCTAGAGTTAAACTCAGATTTCATCCTTCCCAGAGGAAGAAAGACTGGATCCGCAGGGCTGGATCCAACTGCGGGGAAGTCAGGGCGGGACATGGCCCCACCATGGCATGGAGGGTCGGGATGCTCGGGTGTCATGCAAGCTGCGTCCTCTCCTTATCTCATGCAGACCCACAGCCTTGCTGGGGGCCACCGGTGGTGCAGAAGAGTCCTGTCCATGGAGGTGACAGGTCCTCCAAAGGACAGCCACGTGGCCATCTGGGATAGCTGCTGGAGGACCGGTGAGGTTCAGTGCCTCTCCAAACCACCCGAGCAGACGTTTGCTAATGAAGCTCCCCTTCTCCAGGCAGTTCCTCTGTTTTTGGAGGCCACCTGAGCTGGTTTGAGTATCTCCTTTGTGGGAATCGATCTGGGAACATCATCTGGAAACTCTTTACATTAAGGGAAGAAAACCAAACAGCCAGCACTTTTGTCCAATACAGAAATCTCTGGTTTCAGCTCGCATTCCCACGGCTGAATGATTAAAATATTTAATTAAGCAAGCCTGTTGACATTACTCCCTTGCAAAAGCAAAGAGGAAGCCCTGGGCTGGCGAATAAAATAAGTGATGGCTGTTCCCTGCCCCGAGCCCCTGTCCCTGGCCAGCCTGGGAAGCTCTCCCCGCAAAATTGCTGGGATAGGGCAGGTCTCTGCCCTCTCCCCAAAACACATCCCCCGGGTGGGACAGGGGGTTTCTAGGCGAGAGGAAGCCGTGCCCTCCTGCCAAGGCACCAGCTTAATCCTCCATACGCTGATAAGGTCACGCTGGGATCTGCGCTCCTCCCTCCCGTGCATCGTCTGAGACCGGCGGCTCTCTTGGCCCTATTTATAGTGCGGTGATAGGATCAGGGGGAATAAGCGTTTAGTGTCCCCTAAATCACACCCTGCTCCCCATGGCCGGTCGGTGCTCGCTGCTCTCTGCTCTTGCTGCCGGAGAGCCTGGCCAGGACTTTTGAAGGTATGTTGGGAGCTGGGGTGCTGCTTGCTGGGAGCTGGGGTGGTGGTGGGCAGCTGTGGCATCCCTCCCAGTTCCTCCTCCTCACTGGAGTGGGATGGGGGTGGCTTTTGGCTGGGAGAAACCTCGAGAGCATGATGCCGTGGTGGGGACCCCCGACATCAGGCAGGGATCGGAGGGCAGCTCTGACTGCAAGGGGAGCCCAATTTCTCTGGATTAAAGGGACCAAATAATATTTGTCTCACCTGGATGGTGGCCAGGCCACCATCCCTCCATCCCCCCTTGGACCTCAGCCTGAGTGGGACAATCAGCCAGGGTCCATCCAGACTGCCCCTGGGTTGGTGGTCTAACCCTGCCCAAGGACGGCATGGTGGTCTGGGCTCCCCCTGTAGATGGCCACCATTCACTTGATAACTCCATTTATAGTTACATCTGTCAAGAAAAAGTCATACGCAGAGACATGGGGAGAGCCCCAAATCTGTGCCCTGTGTCCCTGGGCCGTGGAGATGGCTGGAGCGGGCCAGGGAAGGTGGGGGGACCTGTCAGTTTGCTGCAGGTGGGCAGCATGGTGGGGAGGGTTGGTTGCTCATCCTTCCTCTCCATCACCTGTCTCCTTGCTCTGGTTCCCATTTCAGGGAGCGACGGTGTAGCGGGATGCCCCGTCCGGGGGAGCCAGCTCCTTCCCGTGCGTGGTCCTGTGTGGGCGGAAAGCCCTGCCCGAGGGGCTGACGACCCCCAGCCAGACCTCAACACCCTCCAAGCCAACCAACAGCTCTGCAGGAAGGGAAACGCAGCCTACAAAGCCGGCAGAGCCTGGCCAGGAGAGCGGGAGATCTCCCACCGGAGCTGGTCCCAGCTTGGTGGCCACGGGGTGACACCAGGAAGGATGCTCTATGGGGACAGGCGAGTCCCTTGCCTGCAGTGACCCCCTTGGCAGGAGCTCTGGCATCCCAGCTCTGTTCCCATATAGCTGCAACCTCACCCGCTAGCTCTCGGGAGAAGACCTGGTGTTATGCCCTGGGGACTGCCACCTTTCTCCCCGAGGGTGTTTGATGATGAGACACGTGGGGTCACCCCCGAGGACCATCCTCACCTGCCTGATGGAGGTCTGCCCCGGCACCGGCTCTACCAGGGCGGGTTTGCTATCCCTCATCCTCGTGGCCACGCTGAGCAGCCCCTCGCTGCAGAAATCCCTGCCCATGGCGTACAGGGGCCACGAGGGTCCCCAGGGGGGCACGGGCCTGATCCAGTGCGGGGAGTACAGCAACCAGGTTCTGCCCAACGGCCGCTGTAAGATCGTGGCCACGCTGCCACAGGGGGACGAGCAGCGGTGCCCGGACATGTTTCGTTGCACCGATGAAGTGTCCTACTGGCTCCATGAGAATGAGGAGCGTAAGCAGCAGGTCCTGGAGCTGAGGGAGCTGATTTCAGAGCTACAGGAGGAGCTGAGGAACCACCGGCACCGCATCAAAGTCCTCGAGCTCCAGGTAAGAGGACTGCCCTTCGCAGACCCCCTCCGCGTGGGTGCCCACGGTCCCTCCCCGTGGTGCCTTCCAGCTCCTAGCAGTTGCAGGGGGAGGAGACCCGATGAAGCATATGGTGTTTTCCTGACCACAGGCTGGGATATCCATTAAACCCCAGCTGCTCCTACTGTGATGGCTCAGGAGTCTTCCAGGGCTGATCTTTCTTAACATTAACCACAAACCCTTTGGTGTTTTATCTACGCTATCTCCTCCACCTTTGAGCCTGCCTAGGAGAGGTTGGGGTTGCTGATCCATCCCATTGCCCATAACGGGATCCCAGACTAGACCTGGAGTTTTGGGTGGCTGGTGAAGGACCACATCTCTGATGGCCACGGCTGAGCAGGAGAAGCCCTGACCTCCAGCCCACGGCACCCTTCCTGCGGTCTCCTTTCTGGTGCCCATCCCACCCCGGCCTCATTCACCAGCCCCGCAGCCTGAAGCTTCATGCTAATATATTTTTTCCAACCTTGTTCGGCACCTCTGAAGCTCTCAGATGTTTGGCACTGCCCCATGGTTTTGCCCGGCAAACACGCAGCTTGGCTGCCGGTAGTGGCAAGCAGCAGCTTGCACAGGGTTGTAGCCAGGAACAGGGAGGGAGCAGGGTGTGTTTTTGCCGGCCGTAGGAGTTCTTTCCCAGCTAAGATGTCTCACTGGGCTGTTGATGAGATGTGCAGAAGAACCAGCAGCAACGTACTGGTGTCAGCTGGAAGAGCCCTGAGACTGCCGGGTGAATAGCACCCTTGTCTTTGCTCTTGGAGGAGATGAGGTCTGGTACGGTCTGGCTCTGGGGCTGATTTATTCTCTGTTTGGCTTCCTTTCATCCTCCCCCTTGGGCTCCCGGTTTGGAAAGCCTTCTTCGAGCAGCCCCGCGGGGAGAGTGAGGCCGTGCCGGAGGCTGCAGGGCTGTCTGAGCTCTGCGATGGCCATGCTGTTGGGTGGGTGTCTGTCTGTCCTGTTGGGTGGGTGTCTGTCCCGTTGGGTGGGTGTCTCCGAGATGTTCCTGGTGCGACGGAGGAAGGGAGGGGGGCACGTGAGTCAGGGTGGGTGCTCGTGCTCAGGCAGACCCACTCAGTGCCCCCCACCCCGGGTCCCTCCTCCCGTGTTGGCCCCTGTCCCCCATTCTGCCTTCTCACCTGCTTTCCACTGCTCCTTTCCTTGCACTTGCGCTGGGACAAGCTGGTGCAATAGCAGTCTCCCGACTTCCCACATTCATGCCCTGGTGACATTTTGTCCCTTAGGACCCTTTAATCTGTCCTTCCCCAATTCCAGCTCCCGGCGCTGGCCCCAAAACACGCTTCTGTGCTACCTGGAGCTGCAGCTCTTCCCCTGACCTCTCCAGCCCAGAGCCAAGGAGGGAGATGGATAGTAATGCACTAAATATTTCCCCTGCCGTCTTCATGCTCTTAATCCATTCTTCATTTCCAAATGACCCATCTAAAGGCAAGGTGTTTGGTCGATGGCAGTTGTGCAGGGTCTCCAGAGTCAGAGGGAAGAGGGAGGAGAACCCACCTGGTTGCCTGGTGGTGGCTATAGAGGGACCTGGCCTCGAACAGGACACTTGGTGTTCAGGCGAGGGAATTCGATGTGGAGCACAGGCTCTCAGTCCATCTAATACCCATGCCCAGATCCTGCACCTTCTTACCCTTCATGCCGGTCTCCTCCTGGTCCAGATCGAAGTTTGCTAGCGAGTTACATACGCACAATTAAATTCCCTGGGGAAATACAAACACTCCCAAGTCTTTCCAGCTGCTGGTGTTTAGACCCCTCATACATGCACATGCACATGCACGTGCACATACACATATACATGCATATGCATATATACATGCACACGCACATGCACGCATACACATGCATATGCACAGACACGTATACATGTATATGCACATACACACGCACGTGCCTGTGCACGTGCACGTACACCCTGACCTAGACCTGTGAGCCCCACGGCCCCCGTCCCCCCTCTTGCAGGCACTTAGTCCCTGCAGCACTCACACGTAGGAGAGAGTGAGATTACGCTGAAAAACATGAGCTAAGGAAAGGACCGCGCGAGAGGAGAAGACGGGCTGCAGTCATCAGGCTCGGTCGGACAAGGGCACTGGCTGGCAGCTGGTTTAAGCATGTCCAGCCCCTTTTTAACCCCCCATCTCTCTGTTTTTCTGCATTCATTCCCTACCCCATCCACCATGACCCTCCCTCCTTTCCCCACCTTTAGCCTGTCCCCCGAAAATCCCATAAGTCTCGCAGAGTCCCGCAAGCTCATAATACTCCTGATAATTGTGTTTCCCCCTTCCTACCTGCTGCAGGGCTCAGGTGGACCCTATCCAAGGCCATGCCCCAGCAGGTCCATCGGCAGTGGCTGAAGCCTCTGCTCTCCCTTATTGTCTCCCTTATCACCCGCCTGGTAATTTCTACGTCTTTTTTTTAGTTTATTTTCCCTTTCCCTGCTATTTTCTGGGGTTTTTTTTTGTACTGAATCATCCTTAGACAGAGAGCGGATGCTCTCACATCATACCCTGGCACTCCAGCCTGTGCCTGGCAGCTGGGGAGAAACTGGTGGACAGGGATGCTTCTGGAGCAGCACCAAAGGGTGGGATCGCTCTTGCCCACCTCCCATGTCTGCCATGCAAGGGTCTCTGTGGGACTCAGCCGATCTTGTAGAGATCTGAGCAGTGAATGCAGACACGGATGCTGCAAGGACCTCTTGGATGTCTTCTGGAGGATGGGATGAGTTGGGAGAGCTTGTTTCTCCTCAACGGGAGCCCAGGTGAGCAGCTCTGAAGGAGTCGTATCTGCTGTGGGGTGCTGCTGGGCTCCTCGCCCTACAAGGAGACCAGAGGGACACAGGGTGCACCCAGGTGTCCTGGAGCAGCCAGGTCCCAGGTCCTACCTAGATGTCTCTAAGCGGTTCATACCTGGGGGACAGTGCCAGCAACATCCCTGCCACCAAGATACTGCCGCACTCAGAAAGGGGACATCCTCTGAGATCTTTTGAGATCATTTGTAGAGAGTTTCAGACCTTGACTGGAAAAGGCCCTGAGCAACCAGGTCCAGCTTGGAAATTGGCCCTGCTTTCTGCAGGAGGGTGGGCTGGAGACCTCCAGCCATTTCTTCCAACCTCAGGTTTTTTTCCATGAGTCTAAAAAAAATAACAGGATGGGAGGCCTGGAAGAAGGAAGAAAAAATCTGGAGAGTTTAGCCGATGGCAATAAGTGTGTCCTGTCACCCTCCAAGCAGGAGGAGGAGAAAAGCAAGAAGCAAAGCTGAGGGGAGCTATAGCTGAACGGAGGAAACCCGAGGCAGCAACGGCTGCCGAGCAGCTCCGCCCCGACTCTCCTGTAAGAAGTTTTCCCGCTGCGTTGGTCAGACCACTTCCCAACGCCTGTGCCCAGCCTGGGAAGCTGCTTTCCTCCTGCATCCCCTCACGTCTCCCGGGAATCGTCCTGCCGAATTCCCGGCTGTGTCAGCCGGGGTAGGTCTCCTCCACCTCCGTTCCTCCCACCGAGGAGCTGTTGCTCCCTTAATCCGTCTTCATAAATCAGCCTCCGGCTGCTGCTGGTTGGTCTCCCTGGGGTTTGCCGTCAGTTATTTCTCCAGGAGCTCAGCGTGGGCTTGTCTGTCCAAGCGGAGACGTCTCTCTGAGCTCAGCATCCCTTTCTGAGCTGAGTGAGAGCAACAGGCTCTTCCAGGTCACAGCTCCTCTCGGGCTAACGGGGACAGGCAAATTGGGTCAGATGAGTTCACCCCATCTATGTCCTTTCTTCCCTCCCCACCTCCCTCCTTCCAGCATGATTTAGGGAGCCAAAGGAACCCCCTTGCCCAGCCCTCCCCGTGCATTTCCAATCCTATTGCATTTGCACGGCTGGGTAATGCACAGAGCAGGACCCCGCTGTGCAAAAACACAGCCCCGATCCCACCGGAGCCGAGGGATGCGGTGAAGGGAGCAGCATCGGGGCACCGTCGCGGTGGTCCGGCTGTGCCGTTTTTAATCAGCAGCAGGAAAAAAAAGGTATCAACTGTGGAGGAGGGGACTGTCTGGGAGAAAGCATCATGGGTTTACTCGGAGAGCTGATGCGTGGGTGAAGGGAGCTGGAAGAAGCCTGTATCAGTCACAGCTCACAGAGCGGGTGGGGGGGGACGGCTGATTTATGGTCGAGCCGGAGACATTGCAGTCCTGAGAAGGAAAGCACTCTGTCGTTGCACACCGTAATTCCCACTCTGCTGCCCCTGTCTGTCTGGCTGCTCTGGATTTTGGGATACAGGCAGGCTTGGTGAGCTTTTAGCAGGGCCGTGCAGGCAACGCTCAAGCAGCATTGGGAAGGATATTGTAGAGCTGCCTTTAGTTTTTGGTACAGTAAACCAGCAGTGGTGATGCCATCTCCTGGGAACAGCAAACTGAGACGTGTCCTGGCAGGAATGGGGATCAAGGTGCGAGCTGGATCCTGGGAGTAGCTGGAAGGGAAGAAAACACACTCTGGGCATGCAAACCCCTTCCAGCTGAAGGAAATCCCCAACCCTCAGCAGCAGCACTGCAGTTTTGCAGGTAGTGATGAGTCAAGTGCCAGATCTCTCTGTCCCCAGGGATATTTAAGAAGCTGCGAGCTTGCACGAACACCTAAAAATCCAGATTTGCCCCTGATGCTGGGGACAGGGAGGTGAGAAAATAAACTCATTTATTTTCAGGGGCTTGGGGGGGCTTGGGAGCCCGAGGCAGTGACGGCGAGCGGGTGATGGAGGAAGAGATGTCCCCATCAGGGGACAGGGAAAGGCAGTGCTGGTGGAGAACAAGCATCCCTCCACCGCGGATGGGGGTATGGGATTGCCGGGCCCCCGGGGGGGTATTGGGGAGCACGGGGTAGAGCTGTTGCATTGCCCAGGGGAGGGAGGGGGGGGCTCCCAGGCTGCTGTGGGATTTTGGAGGTGCTGTTTAAAGTCTGCTCTGCCATCTAATGGACAGGGAGCACCGAACAGGAGAGGCGAGCGTGTCTGCAGTGACTGCATCTGGGGCATGTTCGGTGCGTGCTGATGGGGCAGCCAGCTTGCACATACATTTTACATAGGATCAGAGACTGGTTGCCCTAAAAACAAGCAGTAAAAGGGTCGTGAAAGGAGCTGGGGTCCTGTATCGCACCCACTCCTTGCATAGCATGGATGCGGTCATTGCTGTTTGCAGGACACCAGCCGTTGCCCAAAGAGCAGGAGGTGGCTCGCCATGCAAGGTGTCGATGAGCTGTGGAGCTCCTTATAATGTTATAAAAACATGACAGGGTTCAAGGGGAGATTGGACAGCTTTTTGGAAGGAAACTCCAACCGTGGTTGCTAAATACGTAGAGGCCACATC